AAGACTTGAATAAAATTTTAAAATTATATGGACTCAAAGATACACCGAAGGGTTGACGAGACAGTCGTCCCCTAAAAATTTAATTTTTTTTTATTATATATATATTATTTTCTATTAATAATATATTTTCATCTTTAAATTTTATACTCTTAAGATTTTATAAATTCAGTCCATAACATAAAATTCTGAATTTGTCATTATATGAACATCGATCCATCCAAAGACACCGATGCACGCATATCTCATCTTCATTTCCTTTGTTTGCACATTTAGGTGAAAGAAGGAGAGGGACATTATCAGAATTGGATTCATTCATTTAGGCCCTAGACGATCACACTTGTTGACAGATCGAAGGGGGCGGTAGTTGCAGTCGTCCTTAGCTCTAAATTTTATATATCATAATCTTGTAGATATTTTGTTGTAATTTCTATTGATAACCTATTTTCGATATCGAAAATTTTATAAATTTACCACTTAAAATATTATAAATTTGTCCCTTAACCTAAAATAATAATGTGTCCTTCACTGCTGGTTAGAAATGGGAGAATATGTTGAGCTGCAAATTCTAGGGTCACCATTGATGTTGGGAGGGCATGCAATGCCTTCTTTTTCCTGACAAGGACTTGGCTCCTTTTGCCACTCCTCTATGTCTAATGCTGTAATGTTTCCATTTGTCGAGCTGACAACATCCATCCATCAACATATTTGGATTTGATTTTTGGGTTTTTCGGAAGATCCAAAACCTTGGAGATCAGTTGGATTGGATCTCTCTTTTTCCCCTTTATTCTCTTTGGAATAAATTCCCCCCTAATCAAAACAAAACGTGCACAGTTCTCAAATGAATAAAATAGAAGAGGAAAAAGAAAAGATTAAAGATGAATTGACAAAAGACTAATTACGGACGGATGTAGGATTGTATATTAGGGATGCGAATTTGTAAAACTTTAAGGAGAATCAACTTATAAAATTTTAAAAAGGGTGAAAACAAATTATCAACAGAAATACTATAAAAATCTAAAATATAAGAAAATTTAACAAGATTTGCTCTCTTGAACATGGGAAGGGCTGGTGCTGTATTAATATTACAGCTGTTGAAAGAGTCATATATCTTTCTGTCCTCTTCTGGTGAAACCCCTCGTTCACGTTTGAATTACATCATCATGGAGCATTTGGTCTTTCATGTTTATATATTCAGATTATCATGTTGTGGTGGTGAATGTTAGAAGATGTACGATGGAACTATTACATCAAATCAATGAATCAGAGTAAGAGATAAATAGTTTCAAGTGTACCCAAGATAATATTCTTTAAGATATTTTATCAGTCAATACTCAAAAAACTCATTCATTGTATAAAAATGAGGCTTAATAATCAATAATAATTCGTGCCAACAAACTCAAAAGAGCTGAAGAGAAAATGAAAAAAAAAAAGTTTGAAAAATCAAGGTAATATCTTTTAAAAAATTAAAAATAATTTAAAAAGATTTATTTTTCTTAAAGAATCTTAAATAAGCTAAAATAACTTCTAGTAATTAAGATATCTTTACCTTAACTGAATTTAAGACGTTATCTATTAACCATTTACTATTTTCGAACTCTCTCATAAATTCAGTAAAATAAAAGCATTATATAGAAGTTGAATTTAGTTATTATGCATGCAAGTCTAACACCTCAACTTGACACTAATAATTTATAATGACTTATAAATAAAGTTGTTGTGTTTTCTATAATGAATGTAAAATTTGATTCCTTTTGAAATACTTAATTGTACATAATCAATTGATATTACTTTATATCATATTAGTTGTTTTATTGTTGGTAAAATAGTAATGCAATGAAGTACTTTGTATCCTACATTAGTGAGATACATGCTTTGTAAAAAGGTTTTTAGATATCTTCTTATCCTTGCATTGAGTATTTCATTAACAATCTAAGCTAAAATCAAATTTTAGACAACTATAATTTTATCATATGCCATAAAATAGGTAAATTAATATTTTTATTATTAACAACTATATTCTTAACATTAGACGATAATAGTTTTTGAATAATCTGATATGATTACAATATAGTATATATTCATTTTTTTTTATGTGTATGACAACGCATATATCCTCCGGACGACATTTACATATTTAGTAACTCCCATGAAAATAATGAAATGCACCAAAAGAATTTATCGTCTAGTCTATATATGCTTTAGCGTAGTTAGTGTTAACTATAAAGATGTCATAACGTTGAGACGTGAGACACTTGAGGACATGGCACGAGTAACATCACATAATACTAACAAGAACAACAAGGAGTATCAACAATGTGGAAATCATTCAAGTACAAATTGTCCCTAAGAATGTTGGAAATATTGCACCAAATCGACGAGTGGGGATACAAGATAAATAACTTGGTATGCACAAGATATTATTCTTAAGGATATTTCTTCGTATAGCATATTCTCTAAAATTCAACAAACTCTTCTATTATATAATAATGAGACATAGAAAGCAATAATAATTCGCGACATGAATACTTAAACTCAAGAAGGACAAAAATAACGAGTGAATAAAAGTCCCAAAAAAATAATAATTACAAATTTTGAATTCTCTTAAAAAATCAATAAAATAAAAACATTACAAACTAATTCAAAACCTTAACTCTTACAAGCCCATAAGATACAATGACTATAAATAAATTTTTTATAATTTCTCTAAAAGATTAATTCTTTTAAAATATCTTAATTTTTACAACAAATATAAATTAAATGCATGCGAAATGATTATATATTTACATTGACCCACCGGTAGTTGACACTGCAGAAATGTATTTGGATATCTTACCATATATATATATGAGGTAATTAAATCACGTTATTATGGTGGATATTATTAATAGTAAAGGTGATATATTTATTTGGATATCTTACCATATATAATGAGGTAATTAATTAATGGTGATTGATAAATGCATTTCCATGCAGGCCGCATCATAAATGCGCTGCACCATTATGAGAAACCATTCCTGACGTTTGTACCAAATAATTACATTTCACATTATTCAAACCAATGATTAACAACATGCCGGTGGTTTATTCCAGTCCACTTAATTTGTTTTATTAAAATAAAATTAACTATTAATCTAACATCCTCTAGGTTATTTTTCTGGGAAAACTACGTATTTAGTCATCCATCTATTCTCATATGTCTTTTTTGGTCATTAAATTATTTTTTTCTCTCAAAAGCATACATAAGTTCTATTTTGGTCACCCATTGTTAAAAAAAACTACCGATGTGTCAATTTTTCAATGATGATGTGATATTATTTTATGGCGACACATCAGTATCATTGTTATTTTTTATAACAAGTGACCAAAACGTAAAGTTAGGTGTGTTTTTTTTAAAAAATAGTTGGATGACAAACGAAACTTTGGGAATAAGTGGATGACAAAATACGTAATTTACCCTTATTTATTTATTTACAATTTTCTTTTCGGAGAAGCACACAAATGGTCATTGACTATAAAATGACACCTTGTTGAGTCCCCTAACTATTAAGAGGTACAAAATGATCACCCGACTATTCATATGTTCCAAATTCATCATTTTCCATTAAAGAATTGATGAAAGTCTGAGCTGGATGTTAATTTATTGACCAAGATATGATAGTCATTAGAGATTTTGGGATCCGATTTTATCATATCATAATCGATAGGTCAATGTCCTACTCATTTTGTTGTAATTTTTTAAACAGAAAATGACGAGTTTGGAACATATGAATAATCAGGTGACCATTTTGTAACTTTTAATAGTCGGAGGATTCAACAAACCAATGTCCTATAGTAAAGGGCCATTTCATAACTTTTAATAGTCGAGAGGCTCAACAAAGTAACAACATAAAGTTGGGGCACCAATTGTATACTTTACCCTTTTCATGTTATGTGAAGAACGGAAGAGACCAATTGAGACGGATCAAGTGATGAGTTGAAGTTGATTTTTTGGCCATTGGCTCAAATTCATACGGTTGACATAATTTCAGTGGAAATATGGCAGTGAATATCATTGGCTACCATTCGTTGTAACTCAGTGATTTGAGAATCTAAAATGCACTCGCATCAATCCCATCTCTCATTAATCACAAAGCCTTCTTTCTTTTGATTCCACGCATGTTTTCCCAAACAACCTTCTCTCATAGACATATAACGACCCACTACATCTTATCACTTCTGTAATAGATTATTATTCCATAAATAATTTTTAGAGTAAATATATATATATAATAATTTATATTAATTAAAAAAATTTAATCGTAAAATAATTTGAGTTCAAGTAATTGTATTTATAGGATGTGTGTTCATTGTTAATAGGTTAAGAAAATTTCAAACATAGATTATTTTAAAATTATCTAGACTATTCAATATATATATATATATATATATATGAGATGCACACAAATAAAATTTTAAGGTATGCACAATTAATAAAGTATATAGTAAAATATATATTAACAGAGAAAAATAGATTTTAACCCTGAGTTAATACGTTACACCATTTATATTTTATTTTAAGGTATAATTCAGTAATTAAATTAGATAATTTTAAGTTTTAACTTAAGATTTAATGTTTTTATCCAACAAAGTATATGAATTTGATTTGTCTGTTAAAATTAGTATTTAAATTTTATATTTATGGCCAAAAACTGATACTTAACCTAAATGACTTATATGAATTATGAAAATAAATTTAGATATTAATTAAAACCTAATATTCAATTCTATGTATTTAATTAGACTATAAAAAATAGGTATCAAATTGAATAAATTTAAAATCTAATTCAACAAAAAAAACATTTAGATACTGAATTATTTATCGAAATTAAACTCATATATGGAAAATACATATATACCTTTTTAGGGAATTTGGCAAACCAGCCCGTCCCCACACCATGTTCAACAAGTCCTTTATATATATGCTTTTCACAAACTCAGAGACGTCTCATCTGCATTTGTTCTACGCTGTAGTTCTCCATAAAAATCGTAGGAGCCTTTTGACTCGCCCTCTTTAGCTCAGTCATGGTGGCTCACCTAGTCAACACTGTCCGAAATGTAGTTGGAGTCACTGGTATGTTAGTTTATGTCTGTGTATTCATATCAGAACTTAAAAAAAAAAAACTAACTAATATGAGTTATTCTTCTTCTTCTTCCCAGGGAACGTTATCGCACTCTTCCTGTTCTTGTCTCCACTGTAAGCTTCTTCTTTGTGCTTTAGCATTATCCTTTCTATTTTCGTTTTTTATTTTTTTCCCATCCCGAAAACGAAAAAGAAGATATTGCACGCTTAAACATACCCTAAACCCATCGAACAATCTCAATAGTTAAGGAGAGTGAGTGTTCTCCTTAAAAGCTCGAGTTCTTGCAGCTGATGCGTGCGTTGTTAATGATTAAAAAAGATTATAAACTTATATCATCTTATAATCACCCTATATTATTTCAAAAAAAAGTTTCTTTATATATGGCAAGAACATGATTTTAATCTAAGTATTATTTAAAGGATTGATGAGACTACCTATTAAAGTTATTATGTGTATAGAAATTATATTATTATTATTATGAATATTTGTTTTCTTAGCTTGTGAAGGAAAACAGTTCAACCCAAATTGGTTATTTGACATTAAAAAGAAGCAAGTTAATAAATATTGTATTGTTCAAATTAAAATAATAACGGTTCAAAATTAATTATTTTACAATAGTTTTGAATGAAATTAAGTAAATTAAATTGTAAATTCCAATTTACAGTCGTTTAATAAATAAATAACGAGATTTAATTCCCTTCATTATTTTATTCATCTTTTTGCCCAATATAGCATCTGTTTATTGCAGGCCAACTTTTATTCGAATTTGGAAGAAAGGGTCAGTGGAGCAGTTTTCACCAGTCCCATACCTAGCAACCTTAATAAATTGCATGGTTTGGGTGATCTACGGGCTGCCAATGGTGCACCCCAACAGTACCCTCGTGGTGACCATCAATGGCGCCGGTACCGCCATTGAGGTCGTTTTCTTAACCCTCTTCATTGTCTTCTGTCATGACAAGAAGAAGCGACTCACGGTGGTGCTAATCGTCGTGGTTGAGATCATTTTAATGGCCGCTCTCGCCGCTCTCGTTCTCACCATAGCTCACACCACTCAACGACGTTCCGTGGTCGTCGGAATTATAGCCATCTCCTTCAATATCATGATGTATGCTGCTCCTTTATCCGTCATGGTAAGTGTCAAGTGTCAATAGACTCTAGTTACCCTATATACATGGTAGGAGAATACGACTATAGGTAGGAACAAACGCAGAATATTATGTCATAATAAATGACGATGGTACAGAAATTGGTGATTACGACCAAAAGTGTGGAGTATATGCCATTTTCCCTCTCATTGGCTTCATTCCTCAACGGTATTGCTTGGACTACTTACGCTTTCCTCCCTTTCGACCCTTTTATTGCCGTAAGTTTTACTTATTGTGACTGATTTTTTATTTTTTCTATCTATCATTTGTGGAAATTAAGAAAAAAATTGTTGTGTTTTTTGTATTCGAATACACATTATGTGTGTCGCCAGGTCCCAAATGGAGTGGGAACAATGTTTAGTTTAGCCCAGCTGTTGTTATACGGTACATATTACAAGTCCACAAAGAGAATAATAGCAGCAAGGAAAGAGGCGAAGATAGAGATGCATCTCTCGTCGTCGTCATCGGTGACGGTTGCCAACAGCGGGGTTGGTCCCAAGAAGGGCGTCGGAGCAGCACCTTAAGAGACCCAAACCGTCCATTTCCAATATAATTATGTGTCCAACTCCCTATCTGTGTTATTTATTGAGACAAAAATCAGTGGGAGTATGTTTTAGTTGTCAACATTGCTTTCGACTTCTTCTCAATCCATGTTTGGTTCCTTTTTGTTTTTAATAAATGGTTTGTGCTATGGAGAACAAAGTTTTCTTCATTTAATGGAACGATTTTGTTAAAAAATTATTATGTATTATTTAGATCTCCAAAATTAGAATAAGAGATCCTAGGAAAAAATATCCTCAATCGATTACAGATTTCGAAATCTTATGCTCAACGATCAATTATCATTTCCTTAACAAGGCTCTTTATATAATTACTGATAAATCCATTTGAATTGTCAGAAATGAATCTATTGGTAGATAACTATATTCATTTAGTTTATCACCATACGTGTAGTCATTATAATTCCATACTTGACATTGAAGCTAGTGATTTTTAATGGGGCTATGAATTTATGAGTTTATGTATTTAAAGATTTGGGAACAGAAAAGGTGAGGTCAGTTAGTGGGTGGACCACGAAAAAAATTAGTGATAGAAAATAATCGTCGACAATTGATAATGGGTTAAAAGGAGAGATTTTAGATTTTTTTTAGAATTTTTATAATTTTAAAAAAATATTTTTTTAATTTAATAATATTCTTAAATTTTTCTAAAAAAATCAAGTGCCAAAAAAAAATAATATACGTCACTTAACAATTTTTTTAATGGACGTTACGACATAAGTACCTAAAAATGAAATGTTGTAAACATTAAACACCTATTTTAAATTAAAAATTCTTTATACAACAAAAATTAATTATGGATATAATTTGGACGATAATTTTAAAATTAAGCCTTAATAAATTAATAGTTCAATTAAGTTTGTATTACAGACATCTTGCTTCTAATATTCTACAAAAAAGTCAACACATGGAAAATATTTTCTCCGAGAACCTCGGAAACCCTACTGAATCTCAAGCGATCAATCCTTAGGGACGGCCGCCGGACAATTTAGCTCATGTTAGTGGGGGGCCAACACTGGAACCGCCGGGAAGTGATCTTACTTTGGAAGAGATGCTGGCAGGGAAGAGACTAAAAAATAATGTTACATCATTGGGTTCACCTGCTCAAGGTCTGGGAGTAGATGTAGCCGATATGGATGAAGTAATGGATGACGTGTCGGTTGATAACTCAAAACAGGTTGGAATGATGGAAGAAGGAAAGGCATCAGGAGAGATTGCTCCTCAAAAACTGTACTTTAGAGACATGGTAGCTGGAAGATATGCTGTCGCTCTCGCTCATAAAAAAAATTTATTAGTGATCTTGATGTGGAATTGCTTGAGGGAGAAGTCTAAATTGGCCTGGATGGAGCAATACCGGAGATACGTTTCTTAGAAAGAGTCCATCGATCTATTGATGAAAAACTATCAAAATTGGTGATAAGCTGTTTACTCGGGAAGAAGATAGTGTATAAAGCCTTACTAAATTGAGTTCAAACGCTATGGAGGCCGAAATGGGAGATACAACTTGTGGATCTGGACAATGAGTATTTTCTTGTCTGTTTCGCTCATGTGGGAGATTACCTGAATGTTTTAGGTGGGGTTTGTGGATGGTGTATGGAAGCTATCCGACAGGTCAACCTTGGGCGAGAAATTTTTCTGAGTATTATCCCAAAATGATCCTGGTCTGGGTTTGGTTGCCGGGGTTTCCATACCGTTACTATACCAAGAGCATGATTCAAGCAATCGTTGGAGCCCTTGGTCAAATAGTTAAAATTGATTACAATACTACAGAAGGAAAAAGGGGGCTTTTTGACCGATTGGCCATTGTGGTAAATCTAGAGAAACCACTTGTTCCAAGCATTATGATAGATGGGATTTACCAAAGCATTGAGTATGAGGTCTTATGAACTATTTGTTATTGTTGTGGAAAATATTATTATGGCCACACAAAAGAAGTTTGTGATGCTGCAGAAAATAAGATCGATGCTAATTTGGCCAAACCAAGAGAAGTTTCAAATCCGGAGGAACCTTAGGGGGCCGTGGATGCAAGTGGTTCAAAGGAAGAAGAAGACCACTTTGGATAAAAAAATTGATTCCAAATAGTAAGTACAATGATGAAAAAGGTAGCCATGATGGTGTCTCGCGGTTTGATGCCCTTACCTTGCTGGATCGTGAGGGAATCCCGGTGCACAATGAACGAAGCATGACAAAAAGAACATTTACTGAAAGGAGACCACATGCGTCCCCCATTGTGGACAAAAAAATGTCAAAAAAGAGGCTTCTGATAAAAGCAGGAAGGATAAGCAAAGTACCATTATGGTAATCGATTTAACTGACAGGCTCTTTTGAGCTCTCAGGTTAGATGTAGAGGTAAACCAGGATCTGGCTACGAATACTTCAATGATCGTTGAAGGAAACTCCCATACAAGAAAGCATGAAATGACATTATTGCTCCCAAAGAGAAGGTTGTTCAAGTTCGATCAGTTGGGAATGGAGGGAATCATACAACTATACAAATTGGGGCGGATGAACACAGGAGAGCCTTAAAGGACAATAATGGACGAGCCTCTTTAGGGACCTCATACAAATCCTCTTCGAAGTATGAGGCACAGACGATATCAAAAACAAAAGGTTTGACAAAAAAAAAAGGCCTCACAACAAAGAAAAAAGAGGATAGATGACCGAAGAAACCGGTGCTTGCGGACTGGGTTACTTCTCTGACTAACGTGATTAATCAAGCAAGCTCTAGCTCGATCCCCAAAAAAGCTTCTTCAAAGGAGCTACAACAATCCGATGATGCAGCGGTGTAATGGCATGCGAACAAGACTTTTGAGGGAAGTTCAGAACTAGATCGGAAGGTTTGATCTTACACATTTTATCACTTTTTCAACCTCTTTTATGGTCAGAATTGTATTTTGGAATAAACAAGGCATCATGGGTCTTTCTTTTAATCGCTATTTTTAAAATGCTTCTATGACTTCACAAATTGGATATTGTTGCTTTAATGGAGCCGCGGGTGAGTGGTGTGCGTGGTGATGAGTTCATTAAAAGAACCGGTTTTGATTCTTCTTGTAGAGCGAATGCGACTGGTTTTTCAGGTGGTATTTGGGTTGTCTGAAAAAGCACGGTGTCTATGGATTTCTTATCATATATATACTTGCTCATTTATGTGTTATATCTTATCATATGTTTGTATTTACCTCTTAACATATACTTATCCATTGCATGATTTTTACTTATGCATGAATTTGCATAAGAAAATTATAGTTTGCATAACATTCATTGCATTCAATAAGTTTTTTGTTCATTAAAGCATGCATTGCATTTAAGCATGTATTTCATATAACCATGCAGTTTACTAATGCATATAGTTCATTTAGTTATGCACTTCATTTATAGTTAATCCATGCATTTAGTTCATTTAAGTCACGTTCATTGAATAAGTTAGTTCATTGATCAACTAGTTCAATTTATTTAACTAGTTATAACTAGCTTTTAATTGTTTTCATGCATGTTTTCAATTAAAGTTTGAATAAAACCTTCTTTTGTGTCTATGTGCAAAAGGAAAGTTGAACAGTCTCAACAAATGCAAGAATATTAGTCGATATATATTCCAATTTTGGATGCGATACAGACATGTTTGAGTCTATAAATCAATTGGACATTATTCCTCTATCTCTTACTTTTCTAAAGCATTTTGAATCACCTCAATCTGACATCAGGAGTTTGAGATATGATCGATTTACCGAAGACAATACATACTAAAATTTTATTATAGGAATTATATGCATGGATGATTTGTTTGAGTTTGAGCCCAAGAAGAGGCCTTTTCAACTTCAGCCAAGAGACAAACCATTGAATGCCTTCTTAATTCACACACTCATGGCATTCAAGGTTGAATTATCATCCATTTTCAAGGGCCAAATTCTTCTTGAGATATGTAATGACAAGCCTTCAAACCATGCATTCGCGGCCCTATTATCATCTTTTTAAGATTATTCACGTTCTAACAAGGAGACTAGCAATGAAGGTTGATTTTAATTCACTAATTAACACATTCAATTGTGAAAATCAACAAGGAATAGGAAGGAACACACCAAAGTGGACAGCAAGGGTGTATATATTCATGCAAAGTCCACATTCATTCCCCCTTTTGTTCAAAACAAACAAAGCAAGACAGCCCAAGAGCCTATACTCCATGGACAAAAATAAGGCTAAATTCAACATGAAATTGTATAGATTCATTCCCAAAATGATCTAGAATATTCAACCAACTTTGAAGATAAGAAAGACAAAACATTCAATTGTATTCAAGTGCATTAAGATGAGCATTCATCCTTCTTTTGTAAAACCTTTCATATGGTGCCTATCAACACTATAAATAGGCACCACCATTGCATTTGTAAAGAGAACCTTTTGCTTATATAGAACACCTTCAAAGATTGCTTTCATTATAGTTCTTTGAGAACTTTATCGGCTTCAAGTTGATATTGTAGTCTTCATCCATTCAATTTTCTTATAGTGTTAGTTCCTAGCTCTTCTATAACTAGTGGGTCATGTTACATATCCTACCATTTCACTTCCACTTTGATATATTGTTGGTTCCTAACTCATATATAGTTAGAGGATCACAATCCATTCTTTGAAGTTGATCCTAGTTCATGCCAAACTCCATTTGTTCTACACCACTATCCATACTCTCATTCAACCATAACAACCATCACACTTCCAACATTCACTAATCACTTCAACACACTCTTTATCTTATCATTTTTCACATAACTATTTCCCTACTTACAATGTTGTTTGTGTATTTTCAGACTTCAATCAAAGCACTGCGGAGTTCTTAATAGAATCACGATCGGGGAATCACATATATGGTTCGGAACACAAAACCGGGATCATATCAATTTCTTCTTATTTTATTTACATTATTTATGACTTATATTTTTTAAAATTCATTTTAATTTTTAATTATATAAATATTAAAATTTAAAAATAATAAATAGAGAATAAAAAAATTAAATTAAGTAATTGTGTCTTTTTATAATATATATTTTATTTTATTTAAATAAAACTATTTTTACTATAATTAAAAGTTTCACTCAAATAATTAATTAAAA